GTAGTCAAATGGATCCTCAGATATCTACGGGGTACCACAAACAAAGCACTTTGTTTCAAAGGTGGAGATACGATACTGACTTAGCCAGAAATGTTGACATCAGAAGGAGTACTACAGGGTATGTCTATACTCTAGGAGGAACCGCAGTGAGTTAGGTTTCTCAACTACAAAATATAGTTGCTCTCTCCACAACTGAAGTAGAATATGTCGCTGTTATGGAAGCCAGCAAGGAGATGGTTTGGCTCCAAAGTTTCTTGGAAGAGTTAGGCAAGAAACAAGAAAATAATGTCTTGTATTGCGACAGTCAAAGTGATATCAATCTAGCAAAGAATCCGTATGTTCATTCCAGAACGAAGCACATACAACTGCGATATCATTTTATCCGGTCTCTTCTGGAAGATGGGATTTTGAAACTTGAAAAGATCAGTGGAGCTCAAAATCCGGCAGACATGTTAACAAATACGGTGACAACGGACAAATTGAAGTTGTGTTCAGCTTCAGTTGGCATGCTAGAGTAACAAGACCAGAAATGTTGTTGCATTGATCGAGGTATGAAGACAGATTAAAATCAGTCTTCAAGTGGGAGATTGTTGGAGGAAAAGTAAAAAAGGGTGGGAATTAGGGCACCGTCTAGATGCACGTTTTCAAACAAAGGGTAGGCACCGAATGGTGCTTATTTCAAAGGTTGGAAATTTTGTGTTGAAAATGGTAATGGTTAAATCATACATTTAGCCATTATATTTTAAGATAATTACAAGATTAGTCCCTAAGATTCAACTATAAATACCCTAGCTCATTAAGCTTTAAAATCATCCCAAAAATCATTTCTTACTCCCAATACTATAGAGTTTTCTTGTGAGTAGTGAATGTTTTGTAAACACCTGTAAATTTTCTCTCTTAGTAAAAGATCTGCAACATTCCGGAGACGTAGGCACAATTGGCTGAACTCCGTTATCAATTTTTCGGATATTATTTTTCCGTTTTTATTTCACATTCTCACTAATCTGGTTATAGGAAAATTACTTGTTACTCTGTTTATTTCCCAACAGTTTGATGATAATACCACTATTTTTTTTCATCGTTTTGCTTCGCAAAGGAAACGATGAAATAAAATTCTCAGTTTGGAGGCGGACAATGGTGACCATGTTGAGAGTGTAATGCGTTTGGAAGAGATGGTGAGAGTCTATTTCCATACTTTATTCAAGTCAAATTTGGCGCCTGTTGATGAGGGTATTCTTGCTGGGATTAACACTTCCATTTTTGAGGAAATGAATAATAACCTTTTGAAGGAGTTCACAATAGAAGAGGTGCATGCTGCAGTGAAGTCAGTGAGCCCATTAATAGCATCGGGTGAGGATGGTCTAGGTGCTTTATTCTATCAAAGGTTTTGGCATATCGTGGGTAAGGATGTAGCAGAATTGTGCTTTGATTTACTTTATGGATGAATTGAAATGAAGACCATAAATCGTAACCATGTTGTTTTGATTCTTAAGGTGTGTTCACCTACCCGTTTACTGCAGTTTCAGCCTATTAATTTATGTAGTGTCATTTATAAGATTGTTTCGAAGATGTTAGTGATCTGAATGCAAGGGTTGCTACACTTGTGTATTGATGAGGTTCATAGTGCTTTTGGGTCGGGTAGACTCATTAATAATATTATTACGGTATATGAGTTGCTCCATTCTTTTGTTAATAAGAGAACGGAACGATTGGGTCAATTTATGCTTAAACTCAACATGAGTAAAGCGTATTATAGAGTTGAGTGGTCGTTTTTGTGGACAATTATGGAGAAAATGGGTTTTGCGCACGAATGGATTTTTTTTTTTGGCAAAGGTGCGTCTGCTCGATTTCATAGTCCGTCATTCTTAATGGTTTTGTGGGTGTGTCTTTTTGGCGCAATGGGTTTAGGTCAAGGGCATCCACTTAGCCCTTATTTGTTTTTAATTTGCAGTGAGGGTCATTCTTCACCATTTCGTCAGGCGGAAGCTATAGGTACAATCTGAGGAGTTCGAATTAATAGGTATGCCCCTTCCATCACCCATTTGTTGTTTGCTGATTACAGAGTGGCTGCTGATTTAATAAATATTTTGTGGACGTAGCTCGGGACAGGGAATCAATTTTGAAAAATCTAGGATTTTCTTAGTACCAATGTTGATGAAGGTAACCGGTGAGATGTGTGTAGAATTCTTGAAGTTGCAAATACTTCTAACCCCGAGAAGAAGTATTTAGGTCTTCTTGCTTTAGTTGGTCGAATAAGAAGCAAGCTTTTTTTAATTTCAAAGTCTTTTGTCTTGTGTTCATTCTTGGAGCACTCAGTTGTTATCACAAGGGGGAAAGGAGGTTTTTGTGAAGTCGTTCTACAAGCAATACCTCTTTTTGCAATGAACGACTTTCTTTTACCACGTGTTTTATGTGCTGAGCTTGAGGCGATCATGGCAAGGTTTTGGTGTCAGAAATCAGCTCATAAAAAGATGATTCACTGGTGTACTTGGGCGGCTCTTTGTAAACTTAGGATGAAGGAGGCTTGGGCTTTCGAGAGCTTGGAAAATTTAATGTTGCTCTTCTTGCAAAACAGGGTTTGCGGTTGTTCGCCAATTGTGGAACCTTGGTGAGTCGTCTACTCAGGCGGAAGTACTTCCCATCTATTGATTTTTTTTTAATTCCCGCCTTGGATCGCACCCTTCGTATATTTGGAGTAGTATCTGGAGTGCCAGGGATTACTGGAAAAGGTCTTAGATGGAAGATAGGAGATTGAACTTCACTCTCAATCTGGAATGATTTTTGGTTGCCAACGGATGTTCCTTCTCGGATCCAATCTCCAAAAATTGCGTCCATTCAATGAGTATCAGATTTTATCTTTACTGAAACTATGATGTGGAATGTGGATCTTGTGAGTTATAGTTTCTCGGTGGAGGAGGCTTAGCTTATTCTATTTATTCCCCTTTCACGCTTTGTGTTAGATGACTGTCACGTGTGGTGTGGAGAAAGATTGGGGCTCTACAGTGTTAGAAGTGGATATAAGCTTTTATTTGGGGGTGATGCAGGGCCTTTCCAATCGTCTGCTTTGCTTCGGAAAGTTTGGGCAGGTGCATGTGAACGTAAGATTAAAATTCATGGAAATTCATCCAAAACTATGTCCCAACGATGCATAGCCTCTATTGCAGATGGATTTCCTCTTCGCCTCTTTGTCTGTGGTGTTGCGATTTACAGGAAACAGTAGTGCAAGTGGCTAGAACTGTGGAATTGCTGAAGATGTATGGGTTTCATTAGATGTTACATGGCTACCGCAAGGAAATCAGTGGGGTTTTTAAGTATGGTTAGAGAGGCTCTTTGATTCTTGTCCTGCCTTTAAACATGGAGAAATTATGGTCAATATTTGGGTACTTTGGTTCTCTAGAAATAAGCTATATCATGAGGGTCAGCGTACAACAAAGGATGAACTGGTTCCTTTGTTAAAACCCAATGTCGTGAGTTTGCTCGAGACATGGGTTTTCTTAGTCGTTTTTGAGGGGATGCACAGTCGATGATTGAACAAATGGCTGGCTGGCCCTTTTTCCCATATATATATATGGGGTAAGGGGAAGGTAAGATAGTAGGTTACCCCCAACACCAGGTTGAGAGCAGCTTCCGTAAGAGACCTCCGAATTATAAAAATTCGTCCTCCGTGGGACTCGATCTCACAACCTCAAGGTTAAGAACCTTGTGCTCTACCAACTGAGCTGGATGGTCATTTCACAGTCAATGATTGAACGATTACCTTTTTTTTTCTTCTGTTTTGTTCTATTCAATATATATATATATATATATATATTATTTCTCGGATCATATGTTGTCTAACATCTTATTTGAGTAAATTCAAAAACGTTAAACATTTATTCAATTATTTTAAAATTAGATCATCATATGAATAGACTCTAAAAATTTATGTCCTTATTTGAACATTTAACCCTTTCTTTTTCTTATATTCGTGAAAATATTTAATGTGTGAATGGAATATTTACTTTCAAGCGCTTAATGGGATGAAGGGAACAAAACACCGTTTCCGTGCGACGGCAAACTATTAAAAACCTGAGTTAATGGACTTCGCCATTGTACTTTACTTTCTTTTCACTTGAATCACATTCCACCACGCCTCTCCTACATTTTATTTATTAACAAGTAATGTAGCCTTAAGCTTTGTTTTTAAGGTCAAATTTCAATTTTGGTCCCTCTATTATACTTAAATTTATATTTTTCAATCATTATACTTAAATTCAGCCTACTTTAACCCATATATTTTATAATATCATTAGATAACTCAAATAGTTAAAATGTTAACTATTTTGATTTTTTAATAGACTCGGGTGATCACAAGGTAATATTTGTTTAAAATCTTTCTTAATCATTGGTAACATCCACACACTTTGCAAACGTAATTGCTCGAACTTAGGACATTTAAGGAGAATACTATTCTTTTTTACTAATGAGATCAGTACTTAATGAATTCAATTATTCTGATTTAAGTGTTCAGATATTTTATAAAAAAATGACTCAACTTATTTTACATACATATGTTCTCTTATAGTGTTGAAAAGGTATTATTTAGAAAAAAGTTGAAGTCAATGTTTTTACATGTTAATTATTCAAAATAACTAATGAAATTATAAAAAAAATCAAATTAAAGTATATGGGTTAAGTTTTAAACTTGAGTATAATATAGGGATCAAAACTAAATTAGACCTTTTGGAATAATCTAATTCTAAAAGTAGTTTAAGGTTCATGCCCCATGGACAACTAGAAGCTCTCAAAAAGCTATTATAAACATAAAGCAAAGTCTTTTGATAATTATAACACATAATATAAAGAAAACATATGGTGGAACCAATTATTCACAGCAACCCATTATTTAACCAATTTTCTAAAATGTTATTCCATAAATTCAAAAATAAGAAAGAGAAAATCAATTATGTCAATATCAATGAATATGATTTAAAAAAAAAAGCATTACAATTAAGTCCTCACCCCCTCCCAAATAAAAAAACCAAAGCAAGAAAATACAAACTAATCAAGTGTTCATCCACAGTTAGACTCTAATTCTATGTGTTCTAAAATATTATTATTATTATTTTGGTTTTTTTCTCTCCATGTTTATTAGTGTATTTGAAGATCTTTTCTCACATGTTGAAATTGAATTGCTGTTGTAAGAAGTAAAAATCCTCGGCGTTGAAGAGATTGTCTAGCCAAGGGTTGTTTTGCTCCAAGGATTGAAAATCCATGTTATGGTTGTAGTAATTACCAGACAACTCTCGAGTCCCGAAAGAGTCCGATGAGGCTACGGTGGTGCTCGAATTCTCTAGGGCGTAACTTGAGGAGGTCACTTGAGCTCCCCCAAGCTGGTCATCGCTGAATAAGGAAGTCGAGGTGGTGGTGGATGTGGCGGTAACCTCGGCGGTGGTGTAGGAAGCGGTGGCTGCAGCAGCTTGAATTCTTTCGACTAACCTAGGCATCCAAAGGTAACGCATGGCGTCTTTGAATTGCTTGCTGTTCACGTCACACTTGAGTTGCTTAGCATGTTTCTGGACACGAGTTCTCCAGTAGTTCTTGATCTCATTGTCGGTTCTTCCAGGTAAATGCTGGGCGATTTTGGACCATCTGCAACAAACAAACAAAAAGGGTACACCATGAAAATCAATCTCGGTAAACCAAAAAATCATAAATCAATGGACAAATTTTAGGTCAAAAAACCTGTTTCCCCAACGAGAGTGAAGCTCAAGAATCAAGAGCTGCTCTTCAAGAGTGATGTTCCCTCGTCGAACGTCGGGCCGGAGATAATTCAACCATCTCAATCGGCAACTTTTTCCGGTCCTTTTGAGACCAGCACAACGAGCAAGAGAGTTCCATCGACCTTCACCATGAGTGGCAATGTATTCTATGAGCTTAAAGTCTTCTTCCACCGTCCAAGGACCTCTTCTCAATTCCATATGATCATCTTCATTACTTTGATGAACACAATCCCTTGGCTTAACATCCATTTATTTTTCTGGATTGAAAAGCTTTTGATTAGGAGGTGGATATCTTTTGCAGGTATAGAGGAGGAAGATGAATAAAGAGAGAGAGAAGGTGATTTGTTTTCGATGTGGAAAGATAGAGAAGTGGAGAATTTATAGAAGGAGATTGGGTTGAAAATGGAGGGGGAGCAAAGCCGCTATAGGCACTTTGGTTTTTATTATTTTATTAATTAATTATAACACCTAAGCCTCCTCTTACACTCTAATTATACTTAGCAACACCCATCACCGTTTTAAACTTTGACTCTTCGAACTTTTTTTAGTTTTCTTATTTTCTATGTTTGTTTCCTGATCGGTTCGTGTTCGGGTTTATGATCAAGGGCATATATAAATTTTATATTAAGAAATGTAAATTTAAAAACTATATTTAATGATGGACTAAAAGGAGAGTTGTAGGGAGCAGTTACTCTCTTTGAATTTTTTTATATTTTCAATTATATTTTTTATTACAAATTTATTTTTCGTTTTATAAAATTTTATAGGTTTGTCATTCTTAAAATTTTATAAAATTTGTTCATTCTAACATAAAATATTGTGCCTGCTCTTGATTATATTAGAAATTTAAGAAATATGAAATTACAAAATTTTATAATATAAAATTAGATCATTAATACAAAATATAAGGAAAAATTTAAATTTCCTAAGAATATAATCTCACTCCCTTGATTCATCCTTGTTTATGACCATCTCTTTCGAAAGTGTTTCTAAAATTTGAAACTAGATTTTTTTTCATCGGAAGTATAATATAATATGTATAAAAATTTTATCTATTAATAATTTAAATTCTTAACAACTTAATCGTTAAATTTTATATTATATTTACATATATTATGCACATCAAATTTTAAATAAAATCAAAATAATTAAATAATTATTTCATGTAAAATTTTCTCAACTGTTAAATATATATTAATAAATATATTTATTTATATCAACATAATAGAGATATCATATTAACTTAAAATTTTGTATGTAAAATAAATTTAATAATACTGATAAATTCAATGCTTAAATTACTGAAATATTAATCGTAAAAAAATTATATAGATACATAAATTTCATTTAATTTTATTTAGTTGTGGGTCTCGTTCAGGGACAGATACATAATTTTATACTATAAGACTAATTTATAATATTTTAAAAAGGATAAATTTATGAAACTTTAAAGTATAAAAATAAATTATTCATAAAAATATATCTAAAATATTAAAAAATATTAAAACAGTAGGATTAGGTCGGCTTTAGCAATATTTAAATTTCAAGATATTGTTTTCCCACTTAATTGTTAATTTATTGATTAATTTGCCCTATATTCAAAGGCACTTGAATCGGTGAAACGAGCACGAGCTTGAAATATCATTTAATTTTATGGATTAATGCATAGTTAATTAATGTGAGATTGAGGAAATTATGTAGCTTCACCACAAATTAAACTAACAAAAAAATATCGATTAAAATTATTATTTTCAAAATAAAAATGAATATTCAATTAAAAAGATTAAATTTAATGGAATTAAGCAATGACACCCATGATGGACAATTAACAGAAGATGTGAATGCCACCCATAAGTTTTCTTCTTTTATTTTATTATTATTATAAAAAAAATGCTTTTTAAAAAAATAAATTAACTATTTTATGTGATGGGGTTGTGGTATTTGAACTTGAACCGAGTACGGCGTGAGGGGAGAGGGTCCTAATTAGGGAGGAACTCACAACTGTTAATTTAATACACAATTAATAAATTAGCTGCAATATTTAATGTATATTTATATTTTAGTACAAAATTAATCAAAAACTTAATCACCCTTATCTTTATAGATTAGGATTAGGATTTGCATTTGAATCGAAGTCGACGGATTTCGGCTCGATTTAATTTTATATGGTTATATATATATATATATATATATATATATATATATATATATATATATATATATATATATATAATATATGTTTGGATAGTGTTTAAGTTTAAGGTGAAAATATCCGACTTAACCCAAGAATAATAATATAACTTGTGTATGTCGAGTTGGATGCAGGTGAGGATATATGTGCATGTGCAATTTTTTATCTTAAAAATTGAGTCAGATTTGGAGTAGGGTGAAATTTTCTTAAACTCAAATCGAGTGATTGGTGGAGGGATGTTATACTCGGATCAGATTCAAATGGACTAAAAGCTTGTCCTGAACTAATCCGATCCATGATCATCCATAATTAGGATTAATACTTAGGTTCACTCTTTCTATCTTATACCTCTAGATGTGTTAATCGGATCATTAGATTGGTTTTGAGTCGAGTCTACTTAAACTAATTGATATGGAATTTAAAACTTTCCATTCATTTTGAATTATTTTGTGTTTGAATTACCTCGAGATTAAGTCATTTTGAGTTTGAATTACTCTGATTCAAAGGAAATCATGTTTAACAGTCAATTTTTCGAGTTGAAATCCTTCCAGTTCAGATTATACAAAATTTTATTCATATCGATAATTGAACCAAAATTTTGAATTGGAAACAAAATCAATAATTCCAACTACTTGCGTACGTTTCTCTCTCTTTTAATTGGATGAGAAATGTGAGATTGACCAAGTCAAAAGGCCATTGACAGCTACCCTACAGAGACAATCCACAAATTTTTTTTTATCGAAATTCAAATCACTATTTGCTACTCTGTCTTCATCAACTTGAATGCAATGCTTAACATTTCCATATTAAATTATAATTTTCAATACATTGAAATTTATATACACACACAAATAGATGCATGAATCCATTGGCTTGAATGAAGAATAAAAAAAGTAATAGAAACATTAAGATTGTAAATTAAGACAAAAGAAGAAGAAAAAAAGTTGATGACATGGCCATCACGTGTTAAATATAAATGTGTGTATATATAGGAAATTATATTATGCGCATGCTTTAGTTAAGATCCTTTTATAATATATTATATTATATACAGAAATAAAAACTCAAAGTGAAGGAATAGTATCCCTCGTTTTGTCTCTTATTGTAGGGGACATATCTTTGTGCTTCCAAATGTTTATTTGTCGGAGGATATATAATTATGTTTTCCTTTTCTTTTTTTAAGGAATTTTTGGACGGTGTTATATATTCTTATGCTTTACCATAATTAGTTTGTTTACATCTCTTTATCATTAAAAAAATTGTCAATAAACTTTAAAATATATGGTTAAAAACTTTCGATTAACATCTCACATCTTCTATAAATTTATGAATTTAATACTCGTTAAGAGTAAAATTATAATTCCTTTTCCATAGGTAGGAATTATTTAAAAAAATTTGTTCAATCTTTATTTTAATTTTCAGGTTCGTTTTATAATATATGTTTGAAGTACATGATTTCTTTTATAATATTATCTTCATGGTTTAAACAAAGATTATTTCATTAGGAGCGTGTTGTGTCTTCCACTACGGACGGTTATGGGTTATGTTTTCGATCAACTCGACATGACATGAGAAACATACTTTCTCAACTTAAAATGCGATTTGGTCCAAGTTTAGAAATATTTTATTTGATTCAAATTTTAGAGTAAAAACTTATATCCAATCCGATTCAACAAAATTATAAAAAAAATCTCATTTTATCAGACAAAATAGGAAACTAACTAGAAAATATATAGATAGAGAGATATTATAACAATTGTCTCTAATATATATAATAAAAATTATACTATTATCTTATGTCGAGATTTCTTCATCCTAAACTTGAACTTGATTTGATTCAATCTCATTTGTCAGAAAATTTGATCTATTCCGGTCTAAATTTGAATTTTCAAAAAAAAATCTAACCCTATAACATATATATTGAAACTCACTGACTTCGAATAAAATGACCATCCCTAATCATCACTGTGTCCAACCATTTTTGTTACAATGAAAATCAACATGGCTTTTAATTTTCACTTTAGTGATATATGTCAATCTTGTACAATCTTTTTTTTTTAATAATTATAATCAGCACAAACCAAGCGACCTTAATGGTTAAGAAGTTATTATTATTTCTTAAGGTCTTGTGTTTGAGTATCATATATGTTAGGGGTATGAGCGTTCAATATCAAATGATTGAGAGTCTTTGAATAGATACTACCTTGTATTCAAGTCAAGTTAATAAAAAAAATTATAAACACAATTATAATACATTTATATAGACTAGGACAAAATAAAATCTATAAATAAATGAATTTGGTAAAATTTAAATGATTTATTATAATTTATGACATTTATATATTTAACTTATCAATTTTATATTAAAAATATACTATATATATTCTTATAAGTTCAAAACTATACTAAATTTTTGTTTATCATCTAAAACTACTTTTAAATTTTTAATAAAAATTTTAATAAAAAAATTAATAAAAATGATTAAACTAAGTAAACCAATAAATTAAAAGAGTTGAACCACTCAAGAATAAACACAAAATTTTATCTTAGGGGGCAAATTTAGGAAATTCTAAAAGTAGATGAACTTATAAAATTTTAGAAGGAAAATAATTTTTTAATACAAATACAAAAAATATATAAAAATTTGAAATTTTTAAGGGAGCGATTGCTCCTACCCACTGCCCGCTTCCCTCGATCAACCTTGAAACCACTAATGGATTTTATATAAAGGATCCACCTAAAACTTGCAACCTTCGATATCCATTTTAGATTTAATGATGACTTTAATTTAAATATTTAATTAGTGATACTAAACCGGCCCCTATGGTGAGAGGAGGCATTGCCAAATGTAGTTTGTGCCAAAAAAAAATCCAAGTTCTTTACCAAATCATTCTAGTCTTGGTGCTGGCAATTTCTTTACCAATTGTTAAATCTTTAACAAATAGGTTATCATATGGAATTAGACTTCTTCTATATTCAATAATCATATAAACTCTGATTATATTCAAACTTTATCAGATTAATTCCTTCAATAATATGCAAAGCTCTACGAATGTTGTTTTTCTATTTACAATATCAAAATTTAAAATTTTATTTAAAAGATATCGAACTCTTTATTTCTCAATCAACATAATGATTTTTATTATT